GTACCTGTCCAGTGATGATGCCAACGTGGCTGTCCAGTACGGCAGGTGTTTGATTGGGGTGGTTCTATCGTATTGGACGTGGCAGCTCGCCAGCACAGCAGAATGGTGCGCCATGGTTCCACGTTATCGCTCCTTAAGTCCTTATAACGAAACTAGCACGGCTACGTTTGTTTGTTACTAGTATTTTAGCAATTCTAGATTTTTATTATAGGATTTGAAAGGAGCAGAATAACATCTCACTTTAACACTCCAGGAATCATCGGTCTCCCAGGACTTCGGCACTGTTCAACACTGTAGTCGATGTGACGATCTTTTCTTCTTCTTCTTCTTCTTTTTTCCCCCTTTTCCTCCGTTAAAACTTGTTCGTGTATAGAAAAAATCGACGCAGCGTAGCGTGTTCATCGTTCGTGCTAGTACTCTATTCAACCATGGTGTAACTACCACTCCTCAGTCGCACAGCACAATTGCAATGCAATCAATGCTGGTGATCGTTTGTTTAAATATTCGTCGAACATTCTAGATATCTACTGGTTTATTTATCATATAATTCATCATGCAGTTTAAAGATCTAGGAGTCGACCATTACAGTTCCATCTGTTCACAATTTCTCATATCTAATACTTAATCGAGTACTACCCTAACCACAAACATGCCATTAAAATTTTACACTGCATTGGAGACATGTAATTGATATTATTATCTATTCTATATATGCTAGTATTAGCCTTTACGTGCACGTTTGCACCTAGTCTTCATGATTTCGTCTGCCTTTTAATATGTCACCACCTGGCGTGCAAATTTGCATGTCATACTCTATTTTGTTGACGGGCTTTGCTCCGGTACCTCCAAATGACCGTGAGTCGTCCATTTATTTCGATCGGACGGTCACGATCAATTATTACCTTCTAGGAGGTAATGGATGAAATGCATATATTTTTATTTTTTATTTTATAAAATAGGATAAAGAAGGAAAGTTTTAGATATAAAAAATATTTTTTCTAGATTTGATTGATGCATGCGTGATCTCACTGATATAGTAAATCCTTTTTAGTTTATAACTCTGTACTTGATATATTTTAATTATCATATAATTCTGTATGTAACTTTATACACTTGATTTTGAATGTGTACGTGATTAGCCTGTGTATGTGGTTAGCCTATGTAGCGTGTGTGTACGCGCACCTAACGACTAGCGTGTACATGGTTAGGTGTGTGTGGTTAGCGTGTGCATGCATGCTAGTTGAGTGGTTAGCATGTGTGTTCGTGTACGTGGTCTGCGTGTGTGTACGTGGTTAGTGTGTACGTGCATGTTTTTTTTTCTATACCATATAATGTAATGTCTTGTATTATATACTATATCATAGAAATGTCAAAAAAATACTATCACAGGAAATTACTCTAAGATAGACTATGGATAGATTGAATATGTGTGTTTATCTGTCAAATTCCTGCACAGTACCACAAATTTTCCCGGCATACAAACGGTTCGAACCTAGTTATCGACCACATAAAAAAAGAAAAACACATCAAAATTGAACTATTCTCTCTTCAAACCATACACAATGTATAATACCATGCAATAGGAAAATGCCATTTTTTTATGAGGGAAAGTGATTAGGGGGCAGGATGGACGTTTCCCTCCCATCATTAGCGGCATGCAGGATTTCCTCTCCGTCATTAGAGGCATGTGGAGGAAGTTTTTTATTTTTCTATATTTTTTTAATTTATCAAGTAATTCGTAAAATCCGTAAAATCAACGGCTCAGATTTATTTCAGATATTACCTCCTAGTAGGTAAATGATGTACTTTAGCGTTGCCCTTTGTTGACTATTTTGTACTAAACCACGGCTAAGACCATATTTGATCATAAACAGGGCTAGGTACAAGAATGATTCAACGTTTTCATACTTAGTCTGATTGAATATTATAATTTTACAGTACTTCAACCGAATTGTTAATTAATGTTGTATAATTTTTACCAAACTAACTCATATACGGTTGTTAGCGACCGATATCACTAAAACCTCAGCAAGCACGAACAAGTAACGAGTCAATACAATCCGATATAACGGAGTGAGATAGAGTTTGGACTTTGCAGAAGGAAGCACCAGCAGGGTGCTGAGAGTATGTAGAGCAGCAAGTTCTATAGATAGATAGGAATCAAAGATAGATGAAGAATGAGAGGTAAGACATAAGGGGAAGGAGCCGTTCTTCGGTTCAGAACTTCTCATAATCGATCGCAAATTGCTACCAGTGCTTGCTTGATATTTCTCTCCGTCATGAGCACTAGCAAGCCAAGCCAGGGTTTTTAATTTTGATATTGCAAAAATTTCGGCCACCACCAAAATTACCGAATTTCGTAAAATTCAGCCGAATTTTTTTAGAGGCTAGCACATGAAGTATGTTTTTTTCTAAAAAAATGTAGATCTAAACAACTATTAGTATTGATTTATGACTACACATATATTGAATAAAATAGTATGCAATATAAACAATAGAAAATATGAGTCTAGAGTTGTATAGCATGTGTATTACTACTATATTACAAAATTTTGGGTTTTTCTTTCGGACACCACCGAAATCACCAAAATTCGTGAAATTTCGCTGAAATTTTAAACCCTGAGCCAAGCCCATATTGCCTAGGCACATATCTTATCCTAGGTTGACATCCTGACATTCTCCCTTTTAAAGATCCGGCTTGCCCTCAAGTCGATGCATAAATGCTAGACCACTGGAATCCCAAAGTATAAGCAATTCCTTGAGGCGATGCCATGATTTGTAACCATTGGTGAGTAATGGTAATGGTGACTTTGTAGCCATTAGAAACCTTGATGAGCTTGTTGCCGACCGCCCACTGTCTTGCACAAAGCATCTCATCAAATCTGTCAATGGGATAGGCAAGCTATATATCTGCAGGAGCATTTGTAGTCTGAACCATAGAAGCAACTGAGGTATTGCTTCACACTCATGCCCTGTTTGGTTGCTTCACGTGGGAAAAACTCAGTCAGAAAAACACTGGTACTTGTGCTTTTGGTTAAACAAGTATAAAACATACCTTTTATCTTTATCTCTCTTGAAACAACTATGGAAGAGCTTTTTATTCCACCAATTTAAAAAGCAGAAAGCCAAAAGCCAAAAAGAGGGGTCAACCCAACTTTCAAAAATGAACTATGAAAAGTTTTTTTCGAAAAAGCACCTCCAAAAGCAGCCCTTTGGTTTGGGCTTTTCTTTTTTTGGCGCAAAAAGCCAAAGCCAAAAGCCCAACCAAACAGGGCCTCAGTCAGACAACACTGGTACCTTTTTGCTTATCATAGATAACACTGTCATTGATCGTATCGCCACGATGGGATGTTGTTTCTCTCACAATAAAACAAAGATCACCAAATTTTAAAAGCCATAAGCGATCAACAAAAGGGGTTAGTCAGAACTAGTGGGACGTTGTTATCTTCAAGATTAAACATATGCCAACAAATAGCGTAGGACAGCCCAAGGATCCACAACTTCCATGTTTATTTGAGTATAGAAGTTTTGATCCTGCAACTCTTTAGTTCTTGTACTCTGATGAACGGGGCTGTATTTTTTGCTGATGATATAGCAGATTTCTCAAGGCACACAAAAGCACATTATGAGAGAAAACTCTTCAGCCACGTCAAATGAGGATAAAAACACAGAACAAGCGTCCTTCAGTGTTCAAATTTCCTTGTAAGTTGTAACGGATTCAAATTCGGCAGCCCTCTGTCTGGATCTCGACATGTCCAAAAGCGGTCGTGTAGGTTTGTAAAGCGTAGTCCAAATCAGCACACCCGTATAGGTGTACCTAACGACAGCATGTCGGAGGGAGAAACCAGTAAGCACTCCAGCTCGACCAGACCGTATCCATCTAGCTGCCTGACTGCCTGAGCTACACCAACACAGCCTCTGCCTCTGTACGTGTAAGGGCTTCCGTCGCTACCGCCACCGCCCGTTCAACTGCTCAGCGTAATGGCGGATCCAACGACTTCGTCTCAAACCTACTTCCAGTACCAATGAAGTTTCACCAGACACCGGCGGCGCTGCGTTTAGCGGTTTTACCGAGGACGTACACCCCTGCACCTGCAGCATGCAAGTACGTACCACTCGAATGCCATGGACGGGAAGGCCACTGACCAGCCGCCGCGTTCCTTCTCCCACGGGGGCAAGGGCATCAACTGGGCAAGCGGCTGGCCGAGCAGAGCAGAGCCGGCAACCGGACGAACCTTCCGCGAATCCCAGACCTGTGCACACGTCCTTAGCACATGCCACGGCCGGATCTCGCCGCGGGCTGGCACTGGCAGACGGGCAGCACGAGCGGGGCAAGCAGCCTGTGCCCCTGCGTGCCTGCCCACCACCAGCCGGCGCCTCACTGTAAAGCAGCGACCGGAGCACGCAGAGGAAAGCAGCGCCAAAAGCTGCACGCGCGCTTTCTCCGCCCGGCACCCGGCACCCGGCTCCCGGCACGGCAGGCACCCCACCACACCACTTGCCAGGCTAGGCTACTACCCCTTTCGCGGATGCCGCCGGGGGACACGTCCGCGCGTGGGCAAGTAAAGGCGCCCGCGCCGCGCGGCCCCCACCGGCGTGGACGTACGCGCGGGCAGCCTCCACTGGATCCAGGGTGCGGCCAGCCGTGTCGTGTCCCAAACCGACCCACATTTACTCCGCGGACGCGCCATCCTGCCAGCTAGCCGAGCGCCCCGGGAGCCGCCCGGCACTCGCCCGTTGGTTCACCACCTGCTGTCCGTGCCGTGCCCGCGGCTGCCTGCCTGCCTGGCTAGCTGGTTGCCACGGCTAACCGGCCCCCGGCGCTCCCGTATAAATACCACCCCACTCCATGGCCATCACAACCCACTCACACACCAATCGAAACATATACATCTCTCGAGTTCAAGTTCCTCCCTTCCCCCCACACACACTACACACACCACTGCCACTAGCTAGAGATCCGGCAGTCACTGACGCGAGCTAGAGCTGAGAGGAGGAAGATGATGAGGTCAGCTACGCTAGTTGCCTTCATGGCGGTGGCGTGCATGGCGTCCATCGCACACGGCGGCAACTTCTACGAGGACACGGAGATGACGTGGGGGCAAGGGCGAGGCAAGGTGGTGGACGGCGGGCGCGGGCTGGACCTGACCCTGGACAAGACCTCCGGGTCCGGGTTCCAGTCCAAGAAGGAGTACCTCTTCGGCAAGATCGACATGCAGATCAAGCTGGTGCCCGGCAACTCCGCCGGCACGGTCACCACCTTCTACCTCTCCTCCGCCGGCAGCGCGCACGACGAGATCGACTTCGAGTTCCTCGGCAACGTCTCCGGCGAGCCGTACACGCTGCACACCAACGTGTTCACGCGGGGCCAGGGCCAGCGGGAGCAGCAGTTCCGGCTCTGGTTCGACCCGACCAAGGACTTCCACACCTACTCGGTGGTGTGGAACCCGCAGCACGTGATCTTCGCGGTGGACGGCACGCCGATCCGGGACTTCAAGAACCACGAGGCGCGCGGGGTGGCGTTCCCGCGGACGCAGCCGATGAGGCTGTACGCGAGTCTCTGGAACGCCGACGACTGGGCCACGCAGGGCGGGAGAGTCAAGGCGGACTGGACGCAGGCGCCGTTCGTGGCGTCGTTCCGTGGGTTCAGCGCCGATGCATGCGTCTGGGCTAATGGGAAGCAGCAGTGCCCTGTGGGAACCATGGAGACGGCGGCGGCGGGGGGACGGCGCGGAGGCAGCTGGTGGAACCAGCAGCTCAGTGATATGAGCTACCGCCGCATGCGCTGGGTGCAGAGGAAGTTTATGATCTACAACTACTGCACCGACGCCAAGCGGTTCCCGCAGGGCGTGCCCGCCGAGTGCAAGCTGCGGTGAGGATGCGTGTGGTTGGATCGATGGATGAACGAACACGAAGCCCTCGTCGTTCAGCCTCGCCGTGGTGGAAACCAGAGAGATCGGTGCTCTGGTCTGGTCTGGCGAATAATGTTTTGGTTTTGCCATGGGCGATGGCAATGTAAATGTAGCGCGCGTGTCGCATTATTCTTTCATTTGTTTCTGCAACACCGGATGTACAACTGCCCAAGTTTTCGAATAGTAGCGATCGAGTCCGTTTCTTTTCAAATCTGTGTGCGCCGTGCTTTCAAGCACAATTCATGCATGCGTGTTGTGTGTTCTCTCATCTCCATCTGTGTGCGGGGCCGCTGAGTTACAGACAGCTTGGCGCAGCTGGCTACCCTTGAACACCACGCGGACACGGGCGCACGGACATGACGTCCATGGGGTCATGGACAGGACAGACATGGACACCCTGTAAAACTGGGCTCTTGCGTCAGACTAGGGTTCTGGAACCGGAGGAAAGCTTATCCGGGCCATGTTGAGTTCGGCCTTCTTTAGATGGTAAATTTTTTGCAATATGGATACTTTAGCATGTTTCGCTTGTATTTGACAAACTTTGTCCAATCATAGACTAACTAGGCTCAAAAGATCTGTCTTATGATTTACAACCAAACTGTGTAATTAGTTATTTTTTTTACCTACATTTAATGCTCCATACATGTGTCCAAAAATTGATGTGATAGAGAGAGAGTGAAAAAACTTGAAATTTGAAGGCAATCTAAACAAGGCCTTCCTCCTAAACTCTGAAAAAGTGCACTGTACAAAAAGAAGATTTCCCGTCACATCAAATTTACGGTACATGTATGGAGTACTAAATGTAGACGAAATAAAAAAAATAATTGCACAGTTTGATTGTACTCTGCGAGACGAATCTTTTAAGCCTAATTAGTCAATGTTTGACAATAATTCACAAATACAAACGAAACACTACAGTGAAAAATCTTACACTATGTAAACTTTGTCCCTCCTAAATTTGGCCAACTAAAAAGGCCCCGGATTTGGTTGGTTATTTTATTTTAACCGAGGAAGCAGACATCCATGCGTTGCAGGTTGCCAGCATAATAATCGAGGGGGTATACAGGGCGTGTTTGTTGTATAGTCGCTTGAATATTTAGATACTTATAAAGAGCATTAAATATAGATTAATTATAAAATTAATTATATAGATGGAGACTAATTTGCGAGATGATTTTTAAATCTAATTAATATGTTATTAGCATATGTTTACTGTAGCACGATGTTGTCAAATCATAAACTAATTAGGCTTAAAAGATTCGTCTCGTAAATTAGTCGTAAGTTGTGTAATTAGTTTTGTAATTAGTCTTTATTTAATACTTCATGCATGTGTCTAAATATTCGATGTGACATAAATTTTAGGAATGCACGTAGAAACTAAACGGGGCCTTAATTTTGTTTTGCCACTCTTACGAATCACCTTATAACATGTGTCACTGATATGGTATCTTGAAAAGTTAATTATTCCATCGAGGGAGACTAGGATTGCGACGGGAGAGGGCCGACATTCATGGTCCCTCTGTAGACTGTAGGAGTATATTTTATGAAGGAGTAAGCTGATGACTGCTCATGAGTGACGACTGACGAGAACGAAGTTACAACGTGGTAGGGCTAATACAAAACTAGGCGAAACTGGTGTCATCCTCGGTTTTCCCCGTGAACCAGACGCGTTTTCTTCCGAGCCTTGATGAGCCTGCACCGTTCACTCGTTCAACAGGGACTAGCCGCCTTCACCCACGGAAAACCAGAGGAGTGGAGTCAGACTCGTACCCATCACCCCTGCCCTCCCACGACCGATCCCCCAATTCCAATTCTTCAAATATGACTGCAAGCACATTTCCTATGCTAGTGTAGCATCCCCAACACATTCCTAGGTACACATTTGAAGCGTCTGGCATGAATCAAACAGCTTGTTCGTTTGTTGGTTTCAGCCAGAGCTTATCAGCCATGATCTTACAACAAACCAGTATCAATCGGGTTTATCAGCCCAGAAACAACCAGCGAACATGCTGCAAACTTGCGACCTCTTCGGTTCGTACCGATGCAAAGTTTTGCTAAATTTTGAGACGTCGAATCCGCTACGATGACGGCAGAAATGTTGGCCAGCCACTTTCATCAGGACTGTAGATTGTAGAACTGCGATATCGGGAGGAAAGCATAGCTCCGCAAACAAATGTAGTACGTGTTGGACCAGGATGAAACAATGTCCAACCCAGCCCAACGAAGCCCAACAATCATAACCAGACCAAAATGGTGAACAGGATGAACCAGATTAGAACCGGCCCAAATGATTTTACTAAAAACATAAGGAAAATTATGCAGTTTAGCTCCGTTCACTTGGTCACAGATACCTGTCCACTAGCCCAAACTGAAAATGCTATGGCCAGAAGATGAATAGATTTCTATAATCTCTATCTAGTTGTGATAAATTTATCAACTAATCTATGAATATTTTCATTGTTTGTTAGGCAAGCACAGGGACACATCGTGCGCTAGAGGTTGGGATGCATGGAGCTATGCGGTTGGCAACCAGAGGCAGTGTTCATGCATCCACTTTGCCACACCATGAGATTAGCGGCGTTAAGGGGGGCTTGAGCCCCCCCCCTAGATCTGCCCTAGTTGTAGCGGCTTGCTAGGTGTGGAATATCATCTTTTTTTGGCGGCACAAGCATGACGATGGTGGGGTGCGGTGTCAAGTTTTGCAGGATGACGATGCTTATGGAGTTCGGTGTGGATGTCTTGAGCGATAGGCATAGTGGTTTGGCTCGTTGATGGGGCTTTGATGCTCATCATGTGTTATGTTTCAATTCAACCAGCTAGTTTAGCCTTTGTTGCTTTTAGTTGTTTTGATTGTCATAGTTGCTTGACCTTTGGGGTTTCATAGCTCTCTTACCCAATCTTGGTTCATCTTCTTAATATAGTCGGCAGCTCTATTGTCCGGTTCGTTTTTAGAAAAATATTTTTATTGTTTGTATTGCACATACATGGGGTTTCATAGGTATTCAATTCAAACCTTAACTTAAGCGATATATCAACTATTATTACACCACTTATTGTGACATCATATAGATCTAAATTTTGGCTTTTCAATCTTTTGCCTTGCTAGGCAAATATGCCCATGCATCTTGGGTCGATGACCGTATAGATGTGTGATCAATAGTGTTGATACGCCTTTTGTTAAAGTGTGATCCAATATGGTCTTTTTTATTCTACTAAAAATATCCCTAAATTAGTGATTGGAATATACTATACTAACATATAAGCACGTGCGTAGAAGGTTTAAGATTTGTCACGAACTATAAAGTATTTTGAATTGCTCTGGTCTCATCTATATGTTCCTGTTTTTAAACCCATCTCCATGCATACCATTTAAGCATTAGAGCATCTTCGAGAGACTCTCCATGTCTTTCCTAAATTATAGGAATAGAGATATTTTGGTGGAAAAGTATCCTCCAACAGGTTCTCTAAATGGTCATCTTTTATTTTGAATTTTCGCTAGCAAAAAATAGAAGATGAGAATAACTCTCTAGAGTACGAATCTCTACTATAATAGACCAATCAAAATTGTAGAAGGTCCCCTAAGAAAAACGTCCCTACTAAGAGCCTCCACTCAGAAAATAAAACACAAGAACTCATCTCCGTTAAAATTAAAGGCTAATAAATGCCAGGCTTCCCTCCATCTCACGCATGCGAGCTTCAAGCCCACACCCGCACCGCGCGGCGCTCGGGTGGCGAGGGTTCCATTCTCATTCCCGTGCCCCCATTTTCTTCTCTTCCACGAAAAAAAAAAATCGCCACGTCGGGCCGCCTCCTGTTGATGCCGTCGATTGCACCTCGTGCGTGGGATCCTTCCTCGACGTGGGCTGCCGCGTCCCCCGCCGCCACGGTCATGGCCACCGGGCGTGGCCTGCTGGGGGACTACCGGAGCACGGGACCGTTGGAGGCAGGGACATACGGTCGCGGGTATGTCGCGTGGAGCCACGACACTTCCAGGCGGAGGGATGGGCGTGGCTTCCGGAGGGAGCTGGCGTGGGCGACGGCGCGACGCCACCGGTGGCCCATGTCTAGGCGCGCGCACTCCTCCGCTGCCCCGCCAGTCGCCACCAGCGCCATGACCGGCGCGGTGGCCCACGCGATGGGTCCCTGTGCCGGTGCCGTCGCCGCATCCCAGCCCTCTGCCGCAGCAGTTGCGGTGGCCGTGGGAGGAGTTCCGCCGCCATGAGTTCTTTCCTAAAGATGACGGTTGGAGCAACCTACATCAAGGGCATTGCTAAGCAGGATGCATATCCCATCGCGACATTCTTCCTCGTTGGGCTCGCGACGGATCAACGGTGTCTGAGGCCCCCATAAGGCAGTCAACAGAACAAGAAAGTGTGCTGCTCCTCCAGGCGTCCATGGCCTTAGACTACGAAGATCTGCAGGGCCCCAGTCAGCCTCGTGGGTGGGCATGCCGGCAGCTGTGGGGTTTAAGATCGTCGGCGGCATGACCTTGACTTGACTGCTTCCCTACACACGGAAAAGGAACGACATGCCACACTGCAAGGTCCGTCCATACTACACACCTCTGTCTGTTAGCACATATGGACATGAAGTGCTCGATGCTTTGCCTATGTGAAATCATTGTTCATTGTGTTGTGCATTGCAGTGTTTCATGTTAGCCAGAAATTGATGGTTCAATGATATTTTAGTGATGCAGATACAAAGATGGAATAGAGATGTTGCTCGAAAGGTCAAATGAAAAGCTGACGAGATTAGGGACCGCACAATGGATTTGGACTGTAAGCTATGACCTGTGCTCCCATCGAATGCTATGTGGTGGGGAGTTGTGGTCCCAGCTAGCGCATAATTTTGAGGTTAGCTTATCCGATTGGTTCATTATTATATTGTTCCTCCCAGCCTTGTGAAATATGTAATGTTTAAGATAAAAGGATCAGTAGTACATTTGTATATTAATAATCATTATT